TATTTCTGGGATTTTTAATTAGAAAAATACAAAAAATTCCATATCTTTTTTTTCTAGCCGTTATAATTTTTCAAAAAACGTCTCAAAACGTTCGCCTCCACGAGAGGGCGAACTTTGCTTCCCGCGCGGCTCGCACGAAAGCGCGCGGATCGAGAGATATTTAAAAAAAAACTAAATAAAATGATTATAAAAAATAAAACTAATCAAGAAAACAAGCTAATTAGTGTTTGACTAATCAGCCCGTGCACCCCCCTTGGTTGGGGAAGGCCGCGGCCTTAGGGGTGTTGCTCCCCTCCCCGGCAACGGCGCCAAAGTTGTTGGGAAAATCCGGGGAGGGGTCGCCTGCTGCTTGCTGAAGCCAAGGGCAACAACGCCTGTCACTCGCTGCGCCCGCTTCCGAGGTCCTCAGCGACCAGCARGGTTTGWGGGGAATGCGYCGYYTRTTGTGTCCCCACTCTAGAGTCCTTAGAGCATTAGCATCTCCTTGCCCAAAACTTAGCTCTTTTCTCAATGACCATCAACGTTATCAACAAAACAGTCAATGTTCCACTCTCGGTCAATGACAACAAGATCAGCAAGTAAAGGGCTGCTCTATTCCCAGTGGACAGCAAAGGGGGCMCCGATTCAAACACTRACTGAATTATGGTGTTCTGGGAAATTAACAGTTACTGGTYTGATCAGAGTCAGCAACGAGAACARCAACGACRCAAACACAGCTCTGTTAGGGGAGAACAACCGGGGTAGCTCGAATTTTAAGGTCGTCCGATTTGTAGTGTTCCGAGGGGTGGACAGTGAACTAAACGAACTTAACTAATTAAGGACTTATTTGAACAAGTCTCCCTTCAGAATCGTGCWAGGCTACTTTCGARAACTCATCTCTTAGTGCGGCCCTTCTCTCGTTGCGAACTGCTCTCTCCTTCWCAGATCTCTCTTCACCTGATTCTGTCTCTTCGTTCCGTTGTTCTCTCTCGCAGTCCTCACGTCATTCTCTCTCTGTTCTCTCTCTCGCCCGTTGTTTT